ATTTGCACTCTGTGCATGATTGATACAGGGTTGTACGCAACCCAGCTTTGGGTACAACTCTCTTGTGGTCACTTTGCACTGTTTGCCAGTGTAACCTTTTGAACCATGTCACGTGATGTGAACTTCTGCCGCCGCAGCACTGCATAGAGGTTGTCCAGGTTGTGCAGGCAGTTGCACACTCTTGGTAATATGAGGGTTATGTACTCTTGATAGTACATACATCTCGCTGGGAGGTAATGCTTTGGTGGTGCATGGCATGGTCCACGAGGTTTGACTCAAGGTGCGGGAAATCAATTTTCATACTTCAGACATTCGGCCGTTGATCTCTAACTGATCCTTGTTCACGTGCTTTTGTTTTGTTTTCTTCCTCATGTGCAACTTACAGGTACCGATCTCCAGTGGACTTTCATGCCAGAAAAGCTGAGCCCGTTCAGCCGTTTCTCTGTCGCCAGGACGAACCAGGGTCGTGTGACCTACGCGGAGGCGGCCAGCCATTGTTCCAGCATCGGTTACCACATTGGAACACAGCGAGTGCTCTTCAGTTGGCGACACGAGCTCCGCAGTGTGTATGCCAGACTCGCAGGTGAACTGGACGGGCCTTTCTACATGTCAAGCCCAACAGCTGGCCCATATAGCCTTATCGTTTTAGATAAAACGGGTTATTTGGTGAGGTTCGGTGCTACCGATACGAGCAGCACCCACCCATTCTTCTGCGTTGGTAAGCCTCGAGTCACGCATGTTCTTTCGTTCGAAACTGGTGCCCTAATACTACTTTGATAGCGGAAATCTGGAAAATTTCGGGGGATATAAAATTGTCGGTGTCTTCGGTACATTTTTCAAATTAAGACTTCACAGAGAATTTCAAAGTATTAGGAAATTAGAGGCCATATGCCTCGTACTGCTCTTTTCTCTCCGAAACCCAACACTTGCAAACCAGATATGAAAGAAAGAAAAAAATCATCAGTCGCACCACTGGGGTTCGAACCAGGGACCTTGCTATTCGCGGACAATGCTCTAACCAACTGAGCTACAGTATGCCTCTTATCCACAGTTTTTTTATTTTTTATTTTTTTTATTTATTTTTTATTTTTTTTATTTTTTTATTTTTTTTACTAAGGCCACAGCTTCCAATCATGACATGCAAAGCAGCGGTGCAGCATCGCAGGCATGAATCGTGGACGTGGTGACGGGGTCTGATGTGCTCCACCGACCTAGGGTCTCGGCTTCACTGCACAGCAAACGCGTCGAAAGAAAACGGGGGCTAATAATTATCGGGAGACGGGGGGGGGGGGGAGAAGAAGAGAAGAAAGAGAGAGAGAGAGAAAGAGAGAGAGAGAGGGAGAGAGAGAGAGAGAGAGAGAGAGAGAGACAGTGATGGTAAATCTACCCTTCTTCGATCAATCAATATCCGGCTTGCATCATACGGGCAACTTACACCGCTCAAGAGGACCCTCGGCCATTCGCTTGCATGATGTCATGGGGTGGGCATTAAACTATGTCCCCATTGAGCAAACAGAAATATTATTGAAATTTCAAATTTGGACTTCACGGAGAATTTCAATGTATTAGGAAATTAGACGGCAGAGAAAAGAGCAGTGCGAGGCATGTGGCCTCTGATTTCCTAGTCTTCGGTACAGGGGATTTTTACCAAACATAAAAACGACCAAAACTTCAAAAAGCCACAGCCACGCAATGTGCAAAATACAGTTTTGGATCCAGAAAACTGGTTTACCGAAATGTTTGCACTACCAAACAGTTGATTTTGGGAAACACTGAAAATATTACGCTACGGAAAATTCCCAGTTTTACAGAATTTTTATATAATGTAGTGACTGTTGTAGATGCGAGAAACCAACAGTACATCCTCCTACATTGTGTGACCCTGGAAACAGTACATCCTCCTACATTGTGTGACCCTGGAAACAGTACATCCTCCTGCATTGTGTGACCCTGGAAACAGTACATCCTCCTGCATTGTGTGACCCTGGAAACAGTACATCCTCCTGCATTGTGTGACCCTGGAAACAGTACATCCTCCTGCATTGTGTGACCCTGGAAACAGTACATCCTCCTGCATTGTGTGACACTGGAAACAGTACATCCTTCTGCATTGTGTGACCCTGGAAACAGTACATCCTCCTGCATTGTGTGACCCTGAAAACAGTACACCCTCCTGCATCGTGTGACCCTGGAAACAGTACATCCTCCTGCATTGTGTGACCCTGGAAACAGTACATCCTCCTGCATTGTGTGACCGTGGAAACTCGTGCATTTGAGGCTGCAATATAAAAAAAATGGTAAGTAGAAATTGATAGAAAAGAAAAAAGGACCAAGAAACTACAAGTTTCGCTATACTGTCCACTAACACCACCAGTTACGAAACAATCAGCTCGTGCGATAACATTGCACGACACTGACCGACGGTACTGACGTTCTACAACTAACTGGCCAACAGCTCTAGCACATCTTGGATGCGCACTCCAACAGCATTCCAACTTGGAAGGGGGGGGGGGGGGATAGAGGCCCGAGTCCATAAAGAAATTGAGCCAGAGTTTACATGGTTAGCACGATATGCCAAAGGTAATAAAAAACAAATTCATAGTAAAGAAAGATCAGAGTCCATAATGACAATAACATCAACTTTGGCATATAGGTCCTGATCTCTTAAGACCAGGCTCAATTGTACGGGGACGCAGTTTCCAAACCCAGATGTTTTGAATTTATAAATATTCGATGCGGTTTTGAATTTAAATCATCATAAGTATTTGCCAGGAGAAACGCGTGTGCCACAACCCAACACTACTACAAGGAGAAACGCGTGTGCCACAACCCAACACTACTACAAGTCGTAGTTCCAGCCCCGCAGCAGGCGTGCATGCATCCCGTAGGTCCAGCACTACTCCAAGTCGTAGCTCGAGCCCCGCAGCAGGCCTGGATGCATCCCGTAGGTCCACCGATACTGAACAACAAGTACATGAATGGCAGGAACACCAGGGCAGACGCACTCGAGCCGCCCAGAGACAAAGGCACGCGGCAGATACTAGTAGTCAGTCCCAGCTAGCTCAAAGCATAACAAGGCGGGTGGAAACATCCCGCTACACCAAGCCGGCTCGTGATAGCGAGCCGGCAGTAGACATCACGGCATCACCCCGGGCCAAACGCAAAGTGTTTTACGTTGGCAACGTGCAGCCACACTGCTCCGCATCTTCAATTGCTGAATGGTGCTCTGCCCGAGGAGTGCAGATTCAGGAAGGTGTCATATTTGCATCCAAGCACTTCAGAACTGCCTACGCACGGGTGACCGTCGAGGCAGCTGATGAGAACACAGTCGGTGACAAAGGGTTCTGGCCGGATGCTCTTTCGCACACGGTTAGGCCCTGGCGTTTTGCCGCGGACAGTTTTGACACCAGCAATGCCAACCAGGCAAACAACGTCCTCTCCTCAGGCTCAGCATGATGGCGCGACCACAGCTGAATCCACTGGCTCGGCCCTACTTCCCCCCTTGCCAGGGTAAACTGACCTTGCTTTCCGTAAATTGCCGCTCAATCGTTAACAAATCTGCCGAACTGTCTGTCATTGCTGATTTCAACAAACCTGATGTCATCTGTCTAAATGAAACATGGCTAAATCCAAGCATAGCGCTCACCATCTCCGGTTATACCACATTTCGTCGCGACCGACCACCTCATGATAACAAATCCGGTACGGCAACCAGAGGATATGGTGGAGTTGCGATTCTTGTCCGGCAAAATCGCTTCGGAAGAGTCCAAGTTCGCGACGACCTTGCTCGTCCGACCTGTGAATCCGTATGGGTTGAGCTTCACCCAATCTTAGGCTCCCCGACACCCATCCTCGTCTGCTGTACCTACCGTCCGCCCTCAGTCAAAACCATGGAAATAGACCACTTCTGTGATATGCTAGCTAGTGCTTTGGTAACCGTTCCCATGTCATCGTACCATGTCATAATGGCTGGGGACTTCAACAGTAAGCACAAACGGTGGTGCCCATCGGATTTAACGTGTCCTGCTGGGGCGGCACTTTTTCGCACCCTTACCTGCTTCGGTTTGGATCAGCTGGTGCAGAGTCCAACGCACACAACATCTTCCGGAACACAGTCATGTCTAGACCTTGTCTTCACGAACCAACCCCTGCTGGCGACGGACGTTCACACAGCTTGCGCTCTTGGCTCCTCGGACCATCTCATGGTTTCATGCCAGTTCGCCGTCTCATTGCCCTCGGATCCAGACCTGCCACTTCCTTCTCGCAAACCGTTCCCATATCGCTTCCGTCGAGTTCCCTCTCAGTGCTGGGACTCTATGAACGCTGATTTCTCCTGCCACGACTGGTCGTTTCTGCAACCAGAAGGCTCTCCAACTGTTGACGCCGCGGTAGATCACTTTGCAGCCGTCCTTGAACGAGGGTTCCAACAGCACCTCTCTAACTTTGCTATCGGCTACAACAACCGGAAACATTCCAACCCAACATCCTCGACATCTAGTCCCCCATGGGTGACACGGTCCCTCGTATCTGAAGTGAAGCGCAAGCGTGATCTTTTCAGCATCTACAAGAAATTCCCAACGCCGGTTAACCGGGAGGCTTACCGAGTTCAACGCAACTTCGTCAAGCACCTTTCTCGTACCTCACACCGCTCCTTTCTAAACTCTCTTTCTGCAACACTCTCCTCCCCCGATCGCCCATCACTCCACCAATTCATTCGCAACCAGTGCCGCGGGACCTCCCGCGCGCCAATCCAGTACCTGACGGACTCCCATGGCAACCGCCAGCACGATGTGAAGGCGATTGCAGACACACTGAACAAGCAGTTTGTTTCATCCGGCATTCCGGAAGATCCGAATTGGGTCATTCCATCGCTGTCCCCAGCCCCTGAACTTAGCGCACCACTCACACGCGTCGTTACCACGACTGCTACCGTCTGTAAGCACCTCAAACTCCTGAAGAATTGTAAGTCCCCTGGCGAAGATGGCATACCCAATGAGGTTCTCAAATGGCTTGCGCCATCTCTGTCCTATCCCTTGTGCCTGCTCTTTAACATGTCATATCGTACAGGAGTATTTCCGTCCGTCTGGAAATCTGCTGTTATCGTCCCGATCTATAAGAAAGGCCAACGCTCTCAGGCTGGCAACTACAGACCAATCTCTCTCCTTCCCGCTGTGTCCAAGGTCTGTGAACGTATTTTCTTTGAGTCTCTGTACTGCCACGTCACCCCAGCGCTTTCACCATCTCAATCCGGTTTCTGCCGTGGAGACTCCACAACTTTCCAACTAACACGTCTAGTACAAGACATCTACACCCAGCGGAACCTCAGGCGGCATGTTGGCATCGTGTTCTTTGACCTAGCGAAAGCTTTCGACACCGTCTGGCATCGTGGTCTGCTTGCAAAGCTAGAGTCCGTCTTCTTGGTACACGGTCCAGCCCTGCAATGGCTCTCATCCTATCTTTCCTGCCGCCACCAGACTGTCAGAGTATCTACCTCCCTATCAGACCCATTACTAGTCGTGTCTGGGGTACCCCAGGGGTCCATACTTGGGCCGCTCCTATTTCTACTGTACGTTAATGACTTGCCAGCCCTTGTACCAAATGTAAGTCTTTTTGCTGACGACACTGCTCTGATGTGCTCCGACAGCTCGGCAGACAACCTCACGGCCTCCATGCATTCCGGGGTCAACGCTACAGTAACATGGATGGAAACCTGGAAACTGAAGCCTAACCTCGCCAAAACCGAGGCCATGTTCTTCTCTCCCTCGCCCCCCACTCAACTTCTGTATTTTCCTGGTCTAAATAGTACACCTATTAAAGTTGTTAACGAGCACAAGCACCTGGGCGTTATTCTCGACCGCCAACTCTCCTGGTCTCCACAAGTCCAGTCTGTGTGCAAGCGTGCGAGTGCGTCCTTAGGTATGCTACAACCCCACTGCCAACACTTGAATGATAACTGCAGAGAATTGTTCTTTAAGTCGTACATTTTGCCTATATTTGACTATTGCGATATAGCTTGGTGGGGGTTGTCTCAGACTTTACTCCACAGACTGGAGGTACATCAACGCTTGCTTCTGAAAATTCTGTTTCGAAAAGACCAAACATTTGCCTCCCTTTGTCTTTATAAACTTGCTTCCACGCACCCTCTTCTTGCCCGACATCAGCAGCATCTTTGTATCCTTGTGCAAAAAATCTTCCTAGCCCAAGTCCCGAAACATATTGCCAAGTACAACTGGTTTGTTACCACTAGACCAACACGCAATGCCTTATCACTGCCCCGAGCTAGTTCCTCTCTGTTTTTGAAATCCCCTTTCTTCTCAGCATACTCCCTTTGGTCTAACCTGCCTACTAGCATTAAGACATGCCAGGATATCAGGAAATTCACAGTCCAGCTTTCCACACTGTCTCATCCGAAGTGATCCCATGTATTATTAATGTGCCTCCCTTTCTTTTTCTCTCCCTATCTCCTTTCCCTCTCTGACAGCATCTTTCTTTTTTTCTTCCCTTTTTAGCTTGCCGTGGTTGGCTATCACCTGACCTCTCATGTTTATTGGCAGTCTTCGGACGGGCCAGGAGATGTTGAATAAATAAATAAATAAATAAATAAATAAATAAATTTCCAGGGACAGAATCGCGGCTGGCTCGGACGCCCGCGCATCACCCTACCAGTGGGGATAGACAACAAATTAGCCAAGGCAACGTCCATGCGTCTCCGGAGTCTGAAGGACCTGGAGACACTGCGATTGGTGGCTCGGAACAGGCAATCATTTAACGATATAATCGCACAGGTCACATTGTAGAGTGCAGATCACCTAATGCTTTCAACAATAATAATAACGTACTTCCACATTATGGGAATTTGGTATAACCCCACGCCCGTCATTGTTGTATATTCGATAATAGTGTGGATTTCCCCAACAATATGTTTTCATTTTTTGCTATCCTCTCCCATGCCGTTGTACATAAGCGGCTTGCCGTGGATATGTCAATACTACTACTAAGTATTACTGGACACTAATCCGTGCACAATCAGGCTTTCAAGAGCATTAGCCGGGATATGGGATGCTTGGACTGTTAACACACTCAACACTTGATTCGCACTGATGTACATACATATACGTACAAGCACACACGCATACAGCCAGACAGACATACACACATACATACAGTATAGATACACGCGCACACACACACGCACACACACACACACGTGTACACACACACACACAGACACACACATACACACACACACACGCGCGCGCACACACACACACACACACACACACGCACACACACGCACACACACACACACACACACACGCACAAACACACACACGCACACACGCACGCACACACACACGCGTACACACACACACACAGACACACACACAGACACACACACACACGCGCACACACACACACACACACACACACACAGCTACCAACTCAAACTCGACTGTCTCACATCAGCTTTCCACTAAAAAAAATGCACACTTACATTGTTATGTCTTAGTGCTAGCACGTAACATGTTGCATACTGCAATCATTAAGGTAAATTTTGTCCCCGTCCTGTCTTGTATATTTTCATATTTCTATCTTCTCTATCGCTGATGATGCCCTCCGGGGTGAACCTTTTTGATACAAGCATTATACTGGTTTAGCCCAGGAGGTGTGCGTGTCTCGGGTCATAGGTGAAATGGAAAGACCTACCCTGAACAGTGCACATATGTTGCCACTCACACTTTCAACTGTCGTCTCGTCATGTATGTATGTATGTATGTATATTGTTTATTTGAATTCACAAGTACACACGGGCTACAAGTCCAATTACAAGGGAGCGAATGTGATAATGGAGTTAAAGATAGGGGTGCAGGAAGGAGGAGGACGGTAGCATGATGATTGTGTCATTGGATGTACTTTTAAGTAAAAATAATTTATTACCGAGGAGTAATTTTGGAAATTCCCGGCAAAGTGCTCGATGCTCAAAGTGCAGAGCGTTTCAAACAAAACAAAAAATAGAGAATTAGGTCCAGTTTGGATTTGTCGTAACTCAAAGTTTCAAGCTAATACAATCATCAGATTCATCAGACTGATATTAATAATTATACTGTATATTTTGTTGTACTCCTGTGCGCTTCAGTGTTGTGTGATTTCGGATTCGTGGACACATCCGTGCCCAATGCTCCCGTATGCAGGTGTCTCCCGGGTTGGGTAGGCCAGCGTTGTGAAAAGCGTAAGTTTGACATTTCTTGCTTTCCATATTTAGTCAGGCACTGGTCATTGTATGAAACGTGAACACTGGAGATGCCATGGGGGCACCACCATGTCAGTGGTGATGCGGTGACTAAGGCAATTGTTCGAGACAACACCTAAGAGTTTCTCCTCTTCCTACATGTACAACATTCCTTCTCTCCAAACCACTGAGAATTGACCGATTTACGATAGTTTGGAAATAGTTTGAAAATGTTGAATTTATCGATCATTCGTGTTCAACAAAAGTGTGTGCATTCCGTTAAGAGTTAAAGGACTTGCATTAATAGCACTATGCTAACTAGATGTACGGGTGAGCATGGCTGTTGCATGAGCAGATGAAGCTGAGCAGCAGGAATAGAATCTCTTGACTGAATAGAATTTGTGACGGAGTATTGCGGAACGTTGATGGGAGGCAATTGAAATCATCACGGGACTTGTACCCCAGGCAGTGGTTCATTCCTTCAGTTGTCAAATGCCAAATGCTGGTGTCTCGAAAGCTATAGCCCGAACATGATTAGGGGTTACGACCATCAGAATATCAGGCGGGGAATCCTGGTGGCGAATGGAGCGAGCAAACTTTTGAAGTGTGTGAGAAGAGCGCAATTACTGTGTCTGCTTCTTTTCTTTCCCTTCTTTCTTTTCTTTCTTTTCTTTCTTTTCTTTCTTTGTACTGTTGCACTCTTTTCCCAAACACATGACATGTCTGTGAGTAGTAGATCTCCACCATAGGCCTGGAACCTCTGGGTAATCCTTGAAATACAACAAATACAACTACATGCACAAGAGAGTGGGCCAGTTGAAGCGGTGTAGAAGGCCATCGTTTGTTACTTTTGTTTTTGTTGTTCCTTTTCGTGTTCACTGTCATGGTATCATGTTCATTATCTATGGCAAACCCATCTTGTCCCCTGCACGTCTCGTTTGGAAATGCTCGATCGACTCGTCGATCGTCAGGGGTTTCTTCTAGGCACTGTATTGTGCTCCTGTCAATGAAGAGTAGTGATCTTTATATTCAGTATCACTCCTTTTTAACCTCTGTTGTAAACAAAATTTCCCCCTCCTCAGTCACACACGTACACGTCACTGGCACACAACCACCAGGACAGCCGAGGCTGGGAGATAAATTTGCTACGTGTTGATAAAGCTAAATTAAAAGAGAGAATGACCAAAAGACTGAACTACTCCGAACGAGAAACTTCATCAAGAATCTCCCAGTCACCAGCAAGAAGTAAAAAAAGGCAACAACGCATAGTGTGCAACATTACGTGCAGGCGCGATCAAAAGGTCAAGGGTACATGTACTACGTCTGGACCTAGCACATCGCATGCAACATCTACCAATACATCAGCTTCGGTACGGTACAGCAGAAAGTTATGAAGGCAGCGGAAGCAAACGCACCCGACATGACCTCGCAAGCCAGCACTGGCAGCAGACATGACAGGTGCAGCACCGAACAATCAGGAACCAAACCCACTATACATGACACGCGCACCCAAGCACTGCACTACGCATGGGACAGAAGAGTAATACATGCGCGACTAGATGGCTGGTGCCAACACCACACTAGGACAAAGAACAGAACCATAATGAATGCATTACTCTAGCGCAGAGAAGAGACTTATAGCCACTGGCTTGGTCTATGATAATGCATGCGTGACAATAGTTCATTGGAACAGCCAGTCACTAGACCTACACGGAATAGGAGCTACAAACAGTTACATACATTGTACATGCAGCAGCATATTACTCAGCACTGTCAATTGTACAACTTCCATACTTTTTGTGGCCATGTCTCCATCGATTACACTCTTCATAGCTCTAATTCATCATAATTATATAGTCTCTCCTCCTAACATCTCGTGTCATGTACCTGTCACTCCTTTCATTTGTCTTCTTATTAAATTTTCTTTTTGGTGCGTTTTATGTCCCCATGATGCCGAGACCTCAGGTCGGCTGAGGGCAAAAAGCCTCACCATCACTATGCTCCCACTATGCAATTTTTTTGTCTTTGCCTGTGAGCTGTGATCATTGTAAAATGAAGAAATCATTTCATTGGATCGCTTTCCATTAGTTCTTCTTCTTTTCTTATATGTGTGTAGGTGCCTTTGGTAGTTACACGAATATGGACAGCAAGCAAATCAGCGTTTGGGTGGCTCCAGACGCACACTGTTCGCCGCAGGACAAGTCGCCCAGTGAATGCGCCCTGCACAGTCGCCATGGTTGGCAAGGTGCGCAGGCAGCCTGTGCCGCCTGGGCGATGGGCGTCGCGTCGAATCCGGCCGCCACCGTCACTGCCGGCGCATTCAACAAGCTGGCCAGCGCTCTGCTCTTCCAAGGATTTCACCAGTCCTTGTCTATTTGGCTGAGCAATGCCAATGGTGGTAGGTCCTTGTACGAAATCAACCGGAAGGAAGGAACCGCTAGAGTTTCCGTAGCCAGTCTCCACGCCAACCCACCCTCCGATGTCATATGTGGATGTAAGTGGCCACAAGCAGTAGTATTTGCCTATTGAATTGCAGCGATGAAGATGTTATTAAATACACAAGGGCACACTATGAAACCTTGGCAAATTCCGTTGCGACTCAGAGTTTCATGGCGGAACCAATCATCAGACAATTTGCCCAAGGTTTTCATTGTGTGCCTTTGTGTAAGCCGCTCTGCCTGAATCAGGTATGGAGCACTTTCGCAGAACATAAGCCTTCTGCCTCGGTGATGTTATTAAACATTGAGTTTTGTAGATCAGCACCCAAGTAGCCATGGCTTAGTATGGGTGTGGGGGCGGTGGTGAAGTTTTGAGTGGTACGGTGCGGAAAGACGTGTACACTTGTTTAATCTTGTTACACAAGGCAGAACGACATTATACCAAAAGCTTTCTCGTTACTCCGAGTTTCGTGTTAAAAAAACACTCATCAGACGATTGCTTAGTACTCTCTTCCCTTGTTAGGGGATTGAGCACTATCTGCAGCAAACACTTCAGACACTTTGTTTAATCATGTAAGAAGGTATTAGTGCTGAAGGAATTATACCAGTTACTTGAGTTTTATCTCTTGCTATTGTTGAGTACGAAAAAGGGACGACAACATATTCTCCAGATTACAATGGACAACGGGAACAGGGTTAGGTCGACCAAAAAGTATTGAAGAGAGAAAGATCAAGTGTGAACGGCAAGATAAAGGGCCTGGGTAGCTATGGCAATTATTGGTGCGCAAGTAGCTACTCAGGCCAACGGAACAAAAGGAGACAATAAGGTGAGTATGAGAGTGCATGCAGGCGAGCTTGGATAAGGTTGTAGAACGTACGGGTTAAGGTTGTAGAACGTACGGGAGGAGGTACCTAACATACCTCCCCTGCGCAAAAAAAGAACCTCGACCTCGCGGGAAATAATAAGGCGATGAGAAAGAATAGAGAAAAAATGACTGAGGAAGTAGAGATAAACAAACACACACACACACACAAAAGAGTTATACTAAACATGCACTACAGTTATCACATTCCTATTCTGGTATTAGTTCAATAATTCAATGATACGCATCTGTCAAACTAGTGCTATGGCGCAAACATTGCCAAAGGCGGGCCAAAGACCCGTTCACATTGAAATTGGCAATAAAAACTACGAGTTCAAAGGAACACTGTGTTCTGTACTCCAGCATAGTTACACTTATAGGACATGAATAAAAGAGCGTGGCTCACCATCAGACCCCTGATATTGATGAAGGACACCTGCGCGCGCACACACTACAAAAATCACAAAATAAAATATACTGAAAATAAATTTGACGACGAAGGACGGGTGACAAAGAAAGAGAGAAATAAAGAAAATAGCTGACCTGCATGACTTGGATGAGACGAGATTGAAATAGAAGAGACCAAGTGGATATAGCTGAAACAAAGTTGACATGGACGAGACGAGGTTGACATAGACGAGAAAAGGCTGGAGACGAGATGAGGATTACTAATGACGAGACGAGGTTGACATAGGCGAGGCGAGGTTGGGGACGAGATGAGGTTGGAGAAGAGACGAGATTGACATGGACGAGACGAGGTTGACATAGACTAGACGAATGGCGGTTGCGGACGACTGGGCATGGGATCTCAGGGTCGTGGGTCGATTAACAGTCGGGCGCCAATGTTGAGTACGAAAAAGGACGACGACATTATTATTATTATAGACAACACCTCATGGCATGAGAAGACAATCAGCCAGTACGGGAGATGTGGGTGTTAACCAACCATGGTGAATAAAAGACATACTCTCAGGCATTACAATAGACAACGGGAACAGGTTAGGTCGAACAACATTTATTGGGGAGACGGAGAGACAGAGACCAAGACGAACGAATTGAAGACATTGTGGAAGAGAGACAAGGGAGAGAGATCAACTGTGAATGTATGGGAGGATGAACCTAACACTATTACACCATTGAGGAAGTATAAGTGGATTATGGTACAGATGCACGATAGAGAGAGACATGAACTCACAGTCACACCACAGTCTCCTCTCCCTCTCTGCTCAGTGGTATGCTCTGCCCTAGCCTTTGAGGGATTTCGCACTGTTCGGGCAGTGACGCCGGATAATCACTAGAATTGGGTAGCGACTTGAATTTTTGTAAAATTTATGTTGATTTGACGATGATGACGACTTAAAACCAAATACCAGTCTTACTCCAACAGAGTAACTTTCGGCATTCTTTGTTCCTATGAGACTCCGCTAGTGCTCTTCTTCGATGCGCTCTTCTCCAATTTCGGTTAGTAAGTTAGTTCCCTAGCATATATGTACCTGAATGGTCTAGCTAGATTTCGAGTGGATTTCGAGTGGATTTCGAGAGCGACGCATGGGAGATTCTGATTGATACAGCGCCGTATCAAAATAGATTATCTTGTCACACTGCGCAGGCAAGAGCAGCGCGACGCACAAGAAAATAATCGGCTACTCAGAATCTGTTCCATTTTGCAAAACAGCCGAGATTGCTCACCTTGAGGATCGCTCGCCAAGCTGAGATCGCAGCGCCCTCACCTCCAGCTCTTTGTCGGAGTATCCAGCAAATCGTGGAGATTTGTAAGTACTGTACGCGTCGCCGTTGTTCAAAATAAATCTTGCAAAGGACGGCGACTGATTTGAACCACACAGACAGTCGTGCTGCCCACGCTCAGTCCTTTAGAGAAGGCGATCGTCACGGTCGACTTCCCTTTAGAAAATCGCCAGGCAGATGAGAGGAAGAGAGATGAGCTTCCGAAAGCGAGATTGTCGATCCCGATCAAAAAATATTTGTCACCAGCACTGATAGCAGCGACGAGGAGGACCAAAACAAGTATGAACCCTTCCTTGGACAACAAATTCCTCATGGCCAGTTGTCATTCTGTACCTTCCCTCCATCTTATCAAGTGTTATCCTCTCAAGTATACGCGTTGATGTCCAAAGTCGAAGTTCAAATTGTCGAAAGATAAGCGACAATATTGCTGACGCGGACCAAGTATACATGGTACATACATGGTGTGTGCACGCGTGCGCGTGTGTGCATGTGTTTGTGTGTGTGTGTGTGGGGGGGGGGGGGGTGTGCGTGTCCCATATGGTGCAGTGGTATTTGCAGCGATTTCCAATCGAGAGGTTGCGGGTTCGATTCCTGACGATTATGGTCACATATGTCTATCATCTTTTTGTCATACTCCTCTTGACTTTTCTTTCATTCTCCTGCGTGGTTGTCAACATCCAGTGCATGCCGGAGTATGTGGTGTGATGTATGTGCCGGAAAACATGAAAAAGACCAAAAAGTAGGGATTCACTGGCCAGGAAAAGAAACTTCATAGCTTTGTGGTGTAGACCCGGCTGAATTGTGGTGATCAATTCTTCAGCCTTCCAAGCTGTTGAACGGTACAATCCCTGCACAAGTTGCTATGGCTTCTGCCATAGTATTGCTATCATCGCCTCCGGCGATGGGCGTCAAATGGTCAAACGGTCAATGGTGCATGTGTGTGTGAGCTTGTGTCCATGTGTGTGTGTGTGTGTGTGTGTGTGTGTGTGTGTGTGTGTGTGTGTGTGTGTGTGTTTGTGTGTTGTTGATTTATATTTTACTTCGCAAAGCCAAACCGTGTGTGTGTGTGTGTCTATATGTGTTTGTGTGTGTGTGTGTGTGTGTGTGTGCACGTGTGTGTGTGTGTGTTCACAGCCACGTGGAGGTTCACAACCATCTGGTACGGCGGACGTCCGGCGAGTGCTCGCCTAGCGCTCAAGTCTGGAGCGGGCATACGCGGCTCGAAGCTGTGGACGCTTACCGGGTTGTGCGCTGCCATGAACATGACAGCGCCGGTTGCATGGGCGGATAACTACGTTACTCTGATTTCATTTTCTCTGGGCAGGCTGGGTGTGAACCCGCCCTACAATGTGCCGATCAGGCCTGGCAATTGGCAAAGTTTCGGGATTGCGAGGATTCTCTCAAGGAGACGCTACTCATTCTCGGGCTATTATCCGAACACGCAGTACAGTCCCGTCTGCATTAGTAAGTCATTGCTGCAAGGCATTTCAATCCCACGGCGTAATGCCCACTGTTTGTTCGGGCGCATGAAGCCCAGATCCGAATTTTAAACTGTACTCGCAATGTGACATCTTCTCAAGTCTTGAACACACATCATACCTAGAGTCACTGCTCCGATGCATTTCAATCCTAGGGGGAATCCCCACTACTTGTTCAGTGGCATGTACATGTAGTGAAGATCAGATTTGGAAAAAGTAGAATTGTTATGTAAGTGAAATCTTCTGAAGTCACTCATTATGCTTTGGCAGTAAGTAGGCAGCATCTTTTGCTTTCAATGTCCACAGTTCAGCATTGTCTGTAATATTAAGCGACTATCCGGTCCAAACAGATTGAACACTATACTTGATTCTTGTATAGCGGTAGAAAGGCGCTCTTGCATGCACAGTCGACCCTGAAAATTACGGGCACCCAAGGAATTGAGGCCAAATGACCTTAATTTACAGGTGTCCTCAATTCTCAGCTGCTCCCATCACCATTCAATATCTAACAAAAAGAGCTTTGATTGTCTGAACTAGCTCTGCCTCTCGCTATTGAGCTCTCTCTTGGACAGCCTGGAACCTCTCCATTTTACCATTCACTATCTAAATAATATTGAATGGAACCATCGTGTGCACTTCTCCAATGGGTTTATGTACGTGTGCAGTACAACGTTAGATGTGTGATGAGTGGTTTCTCCCTTTGCCCTGCTACCTAACAGGAGTGTGTGGAGCTGGCCAGGTTGTCAACCAGTACAATCAGTGTGCACCGGCGCGGGGATAATAATATCGCGTGCATCATGTAAGTACCGTCTTGTTCGTTGGCTGGTTGGTTGGCTAGTTGGTTGTAAAGAGAAGAGGACTTATAAGTTACTTCCTCTGGTAACAAAACTTCGTAATGAATTTTGAGGGACTGATTTGCGCACAGACTGCAGTGAAATGAGTCGCCATGAATTTCTCGGCCTCCCCTGGTATGCCATGAAAGACATTGAGGCGACGGTTTCAAATAGGACCTAGGTTGCAAACCGGAATGGACTCAATATTCCCTTTCTCTCTTGGTATTTTGATTAGAAAACATATGTCACAGTGAGACTACGATGTTATACTCCGAGCCAAAATTTCATGGCTCTGCGATGACCAGAATTAGAAGCGCCATACCAAGCAGGTGAGTTTTTGCCGTGCTTCGCACTGCGATTTGAGTTTTACGAGTTTCGAAAAATCAACTTCTTGTCGCAGGTAAACAGCGGCTTGCCTCTCGCCAATAAAGCACCGCACACCAATCAAAACTAATGGAAGCACACACAAGGCTTATTGTTACTCTGTACTGGCCGTCATGGAGCGATAGCAATTACCTAATTTCAGACCCAGAGTGAATTTGACGTGCACTCTAAAACCTGTCCGGTATGGAGCAACCTAAGAGTTGAAGCGAAAAATTGGGCAAATTGGAGGCAATGGGTCAACATAAAGGAGTGACTAAGTTCGATTGACTCTGGCCTTAGAGCAAACTTCAACATGCCCGTTTCATTCTTAAAACATAATATTTCGAGTGAACAATCAACGCTGATGATCGGTTTGGGTCTATACAAATTTGGCTGTCAAGCAGTTCCGGTATCGAACCGTCGCCTCTACCATGCAAGGAATGGGACCTTTCACAACAAGCCCAGCAGAATCGGTGGTTACGCTGTGGCAACATAGGTAAAATCACTCATGGCTAGCGAAACTGAAATACCACTTCTCCAGGGGAAGTCCCATCCCACTGATTGATATCTTTAAGTTTAGGCACTCCTATCATAATGTGTTTAAAGGAAAGAGTCGCCCGAACAGCGTTGGCTATAGCACTGTCATCTCCGTGTTAAGTATGCCATAGTTTTCAAGTGTATGTGTACTGAACTGCATTATCTGACTGCTCGTGTTGTGGATCTGGAAAACATGCCTTCCCTTCTCATTTAGTATGTTCGATTATGCCCGCGAATCGATTCATGCGAATTGATTCATTTATCAATTGGCGCTATTCACATCACCCCATGTGGATAGGGTGGATTCCTAACCGAATCCAGGGCTCATGACATGAAAATCGAACGACTTGAATGCACTGGAATCGATTCATGCATCAATTCAAGTGAGTAATCGAACCCACTCACTGCTAACCAGTATACGAAATGCAATGCCTAGCTTGTGTTGTGCACTGCACACTCTTTTGTTGTTTTTCTGCTCCCTCTGACCAGGAATACTGGGAAAAGGTAGAGTGTCACAGTGCTCAGGACATCCGGCGTCAACGTGGTGTCATAATCATTGTGATGTGTAATATTTGTGTGTGTCTGTGTGTACACACACTGTATGAACTATGCGCTTTATATTAGTACAAATTCAATACTTCCTGGCTTTTCAAACGACCGCCAATTGGCCTTTATGTTCCCATAGGTACAGTGTATTGTATCTTCTCTGTTTTTTGGGTTTTTTCGCTTTTTTTTATTCTTGCGCTGATATCGAAAAGGCTTCTTTGCCTCACAACATGATCGTGACCAGCTGGTTCTTCTGTATCTTCTCTACAAAACTCTACAAGCTCCCCCCCCCCCCCGATGCACCCACCTTTGCTTGCTGTTTTCTTTGCCAGTCAAGCGTGGGGACGCTACGGTGTCGTCCTTCTTGGCTGTGTGTCCGGTACGGGGCCGGGTACGTGCGTCCCCAGCTCTCCGTTCTTTTTGAGTTAGATTCTTCAATGGTGTTTTGAGAACATGTTTGGTAATACAGTCTTCTAAATAGATCGATGCCTCCAATGGTTGTGTCTGATGCAAGTGTGGGTTTGCGAGGGAACCGGTGAACCAATAGTTCAATTTTGTTTCAGTCTCCTTTAGAAACAACGACGATTCCTGATGAGTGTTGTACGGAAACATTATATTTTTACAAATACAAATTTCACAGGCAGGCACATGGGGCTAGCATGGGGTGAGATGGTGCTGGTGGGGCTTGCCATTCTCAACCGACCAGTGATACTGTGATACTGTGTGAATGAATGTAATGGTGCGTGTGTATTACTTGATTATATTCATTCACACAGTATCACATTCATCTGCCACTACCTTTCTCACATACACTATATTCACACATTGCAAAGGTGCAAACTTCGCTTTTTGTATTTGTTAGCTGCTGTATTTCTACCTGAAACCATATTAGCTACATGTATATAAGTGTGTGTTTTAGTTATTACATTTTTATGTGACGGCGTTCCACTGATGACAGTCACAAGAAAACGTTATGGAACTTGACTTTCTTCATTTTTGCTGTTGTTATGAGTGCACAATTGATCTCATTTATTGCCATTTTACGACTATTGTCTCCTCGTCGATTGTACAAAATATTACGAGTAAAATTTAACTGTCCACCAACGTTACCTGACCATATGCAGTCAGCAGTTAGTCATAACTCTTAACATTTTGACCTTCTCCTCTTCTACCATACTAAAATTGGCTCACCATCCGAGTTCAACTTTTTCTCTTCATTTTTGATTTTTTCACGGTGCACATATCATTTATTCTGTCCCCGGGGAAAATTGCGATTCCGCGGCCGTGTTTTTTTCCGCTTTTTTGCAATTTTTTAAAAGTCCGCGTTTTCCGCGATTTTCCAGCGTTTTTGGAACTTTTCTGTTGCACTACACGTACCACACAGTGCACTGTTCGGTCAGCAATGTCTCATTCGGTGGCGGCTTTGTACTCAACTATGACGAGCGCTTACACCAGAGACTTGTAACTGATTGATTTCACTACATACTCACTGAAAATTGCCTCATATCAACTGCAAACTTGCCGCCGCGAGATGATATCAATAATATTCACCGCATATTTACCGCAAATTCACCGCAAATTATGCCATATTATGCCGCGTTTTTTGCCGCGTTTTTTGTGATTTTTTTCCGCAATTTTCCCCGGGGACAGTTTATTGCAGCTTGAACACTCTGGCAAGGTACGTTCGGGCCTGGTTTAAATCTTGCTTTGGAAAATATTTTTTTCATTGCTATAACTAGTATAAGGTTCGGCCTCATGTCCTCTGTGCTGCGCTGACGAGTCCACAAAGGACGAAATAGTTCTGCCCGCAGATTGAGTATTTCACTCCTGGTCTTGTAGCAGTTGAGAACTCTTGTGTGGGGTAGTGCCTTTGCTGTTTGCATTACGCAGAGCACACTGATTTGTCAGTTTGAGCACTCTGGCAAGGTACGTTCGTGCCTGGTTTAAATCTCTGGCTTTGGAAATTTTGTTTTTCAATGCTACCAGGTGCGGCCTCATTTCCTCTGTGCTGTGCTGATGAGTCCTCAAAGGACGAAACTTTCAGCAGATCATAGCCAGCAATCGCATGTCATCACGTACATTCAAAATCAGCATAATTTTGCGAATCGACCTTTTTTTCAGGATAACTTTTCAACGAGGACGAAGCAAAGTCGGCCGAAGCCTAGAGGAAGAAAATCACCCTCTCCACTTCACCATCACGATACTGACATTCGAGATGAAAGAACTAAAAAATCCACAAGAAAACTGTACGGCCATCATCGCGCTGACTTTGGTCTGACTTTGGTCTGAGAATTTCTATCACGATCAAAAATGTCTGAGGAGCACTCAAACATATGCCACAGACGTACCTTTATCGCTCTCTACTCCTTTTTCAAGGCACAAAAGTCGACTCTCCACTTTCAAACAAGGAACTAGACATACCAGTGGTCCTTTTCAGCTGCTCCACGAGCGCAGGAAATGTTCACCAAGGGGCGCAGAGCAGCATCCATTCCAGAAAAAGAGCTAAAATACGAGTGAGACTGCATGCCTGAGTACATGTATGAGTACATGCAGAAAATAGTCAATTTCAGCGTTTCTGCTCCAAACAGCAACTAACTTCGACTAGAAACAAAGATTACACCAAAGGATCAAACAACAACCATTTTCTGCCGTTTTTTGCAGATGGCTTCCTTGTGCTTGGCCCAGCACGCCAAAAATCACACCTCGGAGGAGTACAAAAATTACAACTCTCAGATGTCCTCGATTGCTGGCCATGTGAGAATTATTTACCGCCAAACCCTTCGCCGAGTTTCTTTTGAAATATTACTACTCCTTTGTCACTTTTGAGGCATTAGTGACGTCACATGCCACACCTATGGCCTTTCCTCATCAAAATGTATGTGATTTGATGTTACGGAAAATTCCAAGTTGCAGGCACTGGCCAGTTCCTGAACACCCAGATAAACCAGGTGTGTGCTTTCAGGTACTGTACACAACAAAAAGTCCCCGTTGGCTGAGACTCGGCTGACGGCCGAGTTTTGTCCCGCGTCCGTAGGAACGCCAACACAACCAATGGGCACTTGTACTGCATAAGCCACATGTGTACGTATATAATATAACCTAACCAGTTGATTATATGGGAAATATAAACCTGTATACAAACCGAGGCGAAGCCGAGGTTTGTATATTGGTTTATATTTCCCATATTCAACTGAGTAGGTTATACTTATGCTTATACCGACCTGATATACAAACTCCCCTAGTGTGATCCTAAAAAAAAAGGAGTTTATATACCAGTTTATACACCAGTTTATACACCAGTTTATATACCAGTTTATATACCAGTTTATATTCTCGTCATCGAAGTACCTGTTATATGCAAAATACAAGTCTGGAGTGTTGTGTGGGGAGAGATGGGAGTTTGTATACAAGCTCAGTATGAAAGAAAATAGTTATTTTTGAACTGCGTGCCGATAGTCCAGTACGTGTACTCACCAACTGTTTGCCACACCATGCTTCGTCGTCTTCCACTTTTATCGGCTGCGTCCTGTATTACCTTCGACGGATAACATTCAGGGTTGCCAAGCGATGGTGAAGAGAGCCTAGCTGCTACAGAGGCTGCTTTCGCAGAGAGAGCATTCGGTAACAGGCATCCGGTCGTCCTCGCCATATCCATGGAAAACGTCTTTAGCATTTGCTTTCCCTACAACACGCAGGTCAGCAGACTCCCTGAAGAAAACTTGGAGTCAGGAGTTTTAGAAACTATGAGTACTAGTAGTACATGTAGCTACTTCGACCACGGCATTGTGGAGCCCGCAGTCGGACTGTCCAGGCGAGGATGAACGACCAGCCAGAAAAGGAAATGTTCAAACTGCAACCGCGGCGAGGTTCAAGTATTGCGCAGTCTCGGTACGCGGTGTACATCCGTGACGACCTACGGACTGTAGATCTACATCTTCACTCGCGCGCGAAAGCGCCAGTGCAAGTGCGGGCTTTAGCCGTTCAGGTTCATCACTCGAACTCGTCAGGCAGAGTCATCTGCGAGCGGCGAGTGCCATGATCATGATGATCCCACGGGTTCACACCCTGTCCCTGAGTCGAACGGACAACAATAATTTATTACACTTTTGTTTATGTCTGTCAGTGTAGTCTACACCATGCATGGCGCATGTGTGAATAATGTTACCAGTAATCCCGCGAGCGTGACCACCTTCGGGTGTACTAGTATGTAAAAAATGTGTTGAGTGGCGGAACTCGCTCAGGCCGCGGATCAGTGTGCATGTGCAGGGCTACAGAAGTAAAGACTGTGCACCTTGTGTTGTGTAGATCTACTACTAGAACTTGAGAAGTCTCAAACAGCTACTACTGGTACTACTAGTACTACAGTGCTGGCAACTGAAATCCGACCCGGTTGGATTTCAGGTGCCAGCACTGTAGTACTACTAGACAAGTAGAAGACTTAGGGCGCGTTCGAATTGTCTTCGTCAACTGTTCAAACAAATTTTATAAAGAGATTAGTTGAAGTGTCCCGCTAGAACGGTTTCTATCAATATTATTTTTTTAGAGTTTTTCAGTGGAATTATCATGGCGATGATGACGTCCAATCAGATCGACCATCTCCACGTACTACGTGACGTCGCTATTCCAAACTCTTCGAAACTGATCCACCTTCCCATTGGATGAGTTTCGATGAGTTTCGAGAAGTTTCGAGGAGCGTTTTTCTGAAGAGGCCAATAAGGCCACCTCTTCAGAAAAATGAAACTCCTTGAAAAGGTCAAAGAGTGACAATTCGAACGCGCCCTTAGTAGCTACTTGCACAAGCAGACAAACGCGGAACAGCTGGTTCGGGATCGATTGCCGAATCCCTGCATATCGCGCATGCAATGTCGATATCCGGATGTGCATGTCAATACGTCGTGCAGCATTTTCACATCAATTTTTGTAGACTGCAATCGTTGAATGCAAAATCTGCGGTACACTGTACATGTGCGTCCGATCCATCACACATTGATAAATACCACATTCTGGAAACTGCACATGGACTGCTGGAGCTGCGGAGGAGCTGGTGCTGAACAAAATAACTTCTTTCGATAGCGAAGAGAGTCAGTCCACGCCACAACGCAAGCTCAGGATTTGGGTGTGACCAGATTGTTTACAGGTACCTTGGCCTAGGCCTTGACGGATTATGCTAGCATAATTTTTCGCATAATTCCTACCAAAATCGAATAATCGCATAATTCGAGGCAAATTGCATACGAATCGCATAAAATTGTAATAATCCGCCTGTTCGCATCAAATTCCATACAGTTGTACATGTTCTACAAGTACAAGTACAAGTAGATGCACTAGTTAGTTATAGGTTTACGACTCCCTTGATAACATGTCCAGTCCACTACAATCAGTGATGGTCGTAGCTAGGTTGGACGGTGCGTTGACCCCGTTGAACTTTTGCTACTACAGTACAACGCCCTCTACAAAAAATTACCT